TTCGAGTGCATGGTTCTATGCCATTGGGGTCCTCGTAGAAGTGTCCACCAGAGAGTCAGGAATGAGAACCATCTCGGTGTCCCAGAAGAGGGGGCCTGTAGCACCCTGCACAGTGCCTAGTGCCAAGTAGATGATCAGGAAACATTTGTTGAATGAAGTCCTAGAAAGAGAGGCCTACTGCTTCACAGATAGTGTTGATGGTGATGGTGATCATGATGATGATGGTGATGGTGATGGTGATGATGACGATGATGAGGATGGCGGCAACCAACGTTGATTATTTATTTGGTGCTCATGCTGCTTTCTGAGTTTTCCGTGTATTCCTTCACTTCACCCTTACAATGGGGCAGGCATTAACTATTAGAATCCCCATTTTGCAGATGTGCACCCTCAGTGTAAACTGGGTCGCAGAGAGTTTAAGTCATTGGCCCCCTGGAAGGCACAGAGGCCGAATGCAAACTCATACTGCAGACTCTTCCCAGCCCCACTGTGCACCTCAAAAGAGGGTGCCAGGAAGGCCATACAGAGCTCGGGAGCCACCCATGTCGTTTCCCAGACTGTGAAGCTGGAGCGGGCATGGAGAAAACTGAGTGTACTCTAAGACCTCCCTTCCTGCCACCTGCCCCTGCAGGCACCCTATCCGTCCTGTTCCTCTTCTCAGGCTTTCCAGGTGAGGCCGAGGAAGCCTACCCACCCCCGCCCCTCCTCTCCATGTGCAAGAGTGAGCCCTTTTCCTTTGGAAAGCCACCCAGTCTAAGAGCTGGATACTTAGATCTGATTTCACATGCTTAGTCCAAGCCAGGGAGTCCCGACAGAAGCTTGAGAACCAGGTCCCTCGGGCTGGAGTGTTGAGGCGGGGCCTGATTTTGCTAATCTTTCATCCCCTCTCAACTCCAGGACACTGAGGTCTTTACCCTCAGTTCTCCAGGAGCCCCACATGCCACCCATGGACTACCTCCTAGGCTCTGTTAATAGCCAGCCAGCTATGACAGAGGCCAAGAGTAAAAGTGAGGATGCCCACTACTGAGAGGTCCTCCATGTCCCCACCCAGCTCATCACAGGGCCAGAGAGGGCCAGGAATGCCTTTGTGTACAATGAAGGGATGCCAGGAATTTTTCTCTCTACACAACCATGAAGCTGCTTCTGGGAGACCCCAGTGGAGAGAAAAACGGCCTCTATCCAGTATAGACTTAGGTAGGGAGGATGGACACACACACACACACACACACACACACACACACACACACACACCTGCTTTGGCATAGAAACCTCCCCAACTTACATGGGGCATCAGCAGCGACCTCCCCCTTCTGGCACCAACTTAGCCCTGAAGGGTGAGGTCACTGCTTGGGAAGCAGCATGGGAATATCAGCCTGTATATCAGGGCCTCCCCGCTGCCTGCCCCACTGCAGAAGGCATTAGAGGAGGTGGGGTAGTGGGGCTCAGTGGGCCATGTGTCTTTCCAGGCCCACCATACCTAGCACCAGGATTGTTCCTGATACCCATGCCCCTTCCCCCAACTCTCAAGTTGTGGCCCAAGCCCTCCCAACTGGCTTTTCCAGTTCTTGGCTTTATGTGGTGCAAGTTTCCCAATTATGCCCACATTATCTCAGCTGCTGGGCAGCCTCCAGCAGGCTTGGGGAGTGGAGGCTGGGGGAGTTTCAGGGAGCACCCATTTTTATCCTGTCAGGGAGGATGGAGGAAATTAGCTGCTTGCCAGCTGACCAGTCAGCAGGAGTGCTAGACCATCTGACCCACTGACCTCCTCTCCGGCTGCTTCCGGGTGGGGCGTGGGCTGGGCTGCCGTGGGACAGCTAGAGCCAGAAGGAAACAAGACCCAGGGCAGCCAGCCTGCTCCCTTACAGAGGCAAGGGACGTGACTGCCAGGGTCTCACAGGTAGGCAGATATTCAGCCCCCAACTATGTGCCGTACTTCGCCCCCCCAGCTCCCCCAGCTTCCAACACCTCTGCTTGAGGTATCTGGTACTACCAAGGGCCAGCTGGGGGGCGGGGGCAGGAACACTCAATGTGCTTGTCAAGACTGTAGTGTGAATGGCAAAAAGAATGGGAATATGGATGAAATTCTCAATGCCAAGGGCATGGCTTGGGAAAGCCAGAAACATATGGCTTCAGCATCTCTCTCTCTCTGTCTCTGTCTCTGTCTCTCTCTCTCTCTCTCTCTCTCTCTCTGTGTGTTGTGTGTGTGTGTGTGTGTGTGTGTGTGTGTGTGTGTGTGTCTGTGTGTCTGTGTGTCTCTGTCTGTGTGTCTCTGTCTCTCTCATCTCTCCTTTCTTCCACATGCCTCCCAAGGTCTCACTATGCAATCCAGACTGGCCTTGAACTTAAGATCTTCTGACTCTGACTCCTGAATGCTAATATTACAAGCATGTCCCACCATGCCCGGCCTAGCGTGCATTTCCTAAGAACCTGCTGTGTACTAAGCCCCAAGATCCCACAGTCAATGTGATCCCTCGAAGAGTGGGATGGGGAGCAATGTGCTGAAGTGACCATGGGCTTTGGGACCTTCCCAGGAGCCCCTACTTCTCCATCATGCAGAGAAGGCAAGGGGAAGCCCCTGCTTCCCACTCTTGGATCCTAGGCCTCTTGAAGCCATCCTCCTGCCTCTGGGTCAGTAGAGGGCTTGGTACTATTGATGGTACTCAGTAAACTGCAGATGTGGGATATGAAGTACACCAGTGTCATCACTCATCAGTGACAGGAAGCACATACAGTCATGTGACAAAGATGCAGCCTTGGGGACTTGACAGACTCAGAGACAGACAGAAGTGGAGGGCAGAGCCTGGTCTGGGGTGGTTGTCTGGGGGTAGTGCCAAGTTCAGGCTAAGGAGGTGCAAAGGAAAGGACTTCCTGGATGTGGAGACTGGAGGGAACTTCCGCCTTGCCCCCAGCTGCCCGCTGCTTCCTGGGAGTCTCCATTCTCTTGGCTACCATTGCAGTTTGCCCAGCAATAAATATTTGCTACATTAGAGAAAAGGAAACACAGAAGCCTGCTGTGTAAGCCAGATGCTGAGCCGGGCTGGACTTTGGGGACTCAGGAAGGGAAAGAATTCCCTGCAGGAGTTCACAGTCCATGAGAGAAGTCAGGAATGAACAGCCGTTTCTGAGACAGGGAGACTGTACTGGGAGGAACCTAGAGGACCAGACCACAGCTTCCTAACAGAAGGGCTTGAGTGGGTTCCTCACAGGAGCTGAAGGGGAAGGGCTCTCTCACCGTGCATCCTCAGCATCTCCTTCAATTCCTGCCCTCCACCCCCCTGTTACACTCTTGGCTCCCCAGCAACGGGTGAAGTAGAGAAGACTGGATTATCTGGCTCATTTGTCAGATGAGGGAACCGAGGCCCAGGAAAGCTCCTAGCTAGAGCTCTTCTTGGAAGGCAGAGCTTTTGACTCTCACAAAATGAAAGGAAAGACAGCATTCTAGATATGGTGCCACCATCTCCAATTCTAAAGTTCTGGAGGCCGAGGCCAGAAGGTTAGTCCAAGATCAGACTTGACCATTTAGCCAAAAACTGCCTTCAAAGACATCTTGGTGGGGGGAAGGGGAGGCAGAGTTTGAATGTAGCTCAGTAGTGGAAAACTTGCCAAGCATGTTGTCTCCATCCACAGAACCAGACAAAAGTGGGGAGACTAGAACCCGTGGATGTATGTTTACTAACATCGAACACTGACCTGTATCACTAAGGAAAAAGCAGCATTTGAACAATCTGTACAGTATGATTCTGGTTTGTTTGTTTTTTTTAATACAGAGAGCTAGCGAGATGGATCACTAGGCAAAATTCTTGCCATAAAAACATGAAGACAATATTTAGGGTCCCCAACACCCACATAAATGCCAGATGGACATAGTGGCCTGCCTAGGAGGTAAAGATGGGATCCCTGGAGCAAGCTGGCTAGCCAAATTAGCACCACCTGGGTCCAACTGAGAGCTCTTGCCTAAAAATGCAAGACAGAGAAGCTCATGCCTTTAACTCCAGCACTGAGGAGGCAGAGGCAAGCAGATCTCTGCAAATTCGAAGCCAGCCTGGTTAACACAGCAAATTCCAGGCCAGCTAGGGATACAGAGTACGACCCTGTCCAAAGAAAGAAAAATATGGTGGAACTCAATCAAGGAGGATACTTAGCATCATCCTCAGACCCCCATGTGCATGCATAACACACATACACATGCAAAAAAAAAAAAATACAGATAATAGCCAGGCATAGTAGTGGCATACATGGAGAATCCCGGCACTCAGGAAGCTGAGACACTAGGCAGTGGTGGCTCACGTCTTTAATTCCAGCACTCAGGAGCCAGAGGCAGGTGAATCTCTGTGAATTCAAGGCTAGCCTGGTCTACAGAGCGAATTCAGGATAGCCAGGGCTACACAGAGAAGCCCTGTCTCAGGGGAGGGAGAGGGGAGGGGAAGGAAGCTGAGACACAAGGGTCATGAATTCAAAGCTATTCTGAGCTACAAGTGAATGATGTCATTGTCTTCTTGGTATTTTTTCAGAATTATCTAGAGTGAAATTTTATTAATTATTTTATTTTATGTGTGTGTGCATATGCTGTGATGGGTATGTGGCAGTCAGAGGACAATTTAAAGGGGTCTCTTCTACCATGTGGATTCTGAGGATCAAATTTAGGTCATCATGCTTGGTGGCCAATGTCTTTACGCACTGAGACATCTTAACAGGCGATTTTTATATCAAGTAATTATTTAATTAATTTGGGGGGGATTGGAAATGAGTTTCACTTGTATCTCAGGTTGCCCTGGAACTTACTATGTAAGCAGGCTGCCCTCAAAGTCTCGTAGCAATCTTTCTGCTTAGCCTCCCAAGTGCTGGGGTTATGGGCACAAACCACCAGACCCAGTGATGATTTTCGTAAGAAGAATTACCAAAGTAATGACTGCTGTAAAAGCTAAGGCCGTGGTAAAGAGAATGGTAGGGGTGGGCAGTAGTGCCTGGCACTGACCATTTCCTATCTTCCCCTCTGCCAGGCATTCACACACAGGTGGTGCAGGTGAATGATTCCATGTATGGCTTCATCGGCACAGATGTGGTACTGCACTGTAGTTTTGCCAACCCACTGCCCAGTGTGAAGATTACCCAGGTTACGTGGCAGAAGTCCACCAATGGCTCCAAGCAGAACATGGCCATCTACAACCCAACTATGGGTGTCTCCGTGCTGCCCCCCTATGAGAAACGAGTGGAGTTCCTGCGACCCTCCTTCATTGATGGCACCATCCGCCTCTCCCGCCTGGAGCTGGAGGACGAGGGCATGTACATCTGTGAATTTGCCACCTTCCCTACAGGCAACCGTGAGAGCCAGCTCAATCTCACTGTGATGGGTAAGCTGCCCTGGGCCTCTTGCCTTTGCCTGTCTAGAGGGGTTGACCATCCTTATCGTGTACCTCGGTGGCCCCAGACACCCCTGTTGGGTTGGCATGCTCCCATAACTCCATGTATAGTGCCTCTCACTTGACTAGCCAGACTGTCCACAATTCCCCAAGAATTGAGGGTGGGGCCTTAGCTTTGGGCAGGGGCAGTATTTAGGCTGGAGCCCCCACCAAGGGACATTGTGTTGGAGACTAGGATGCGGGCAGATGCTTTAGACACCATAATAAGGAAGAAAGATGCTTGGTTTGAGCATGCCAAGACCCCAAGAAGCCTAAAAACAGGACTTTTTGTGCAGCAAGAAGGATTTATTGGCATGAGGAACTTCCCAAGAGAAATTCTGGGAAGGGCTTTGGCAAGGGTGACAGGCAACTTCAACTGATGCCATGGTGTTGTGCCCACAGCCAAACCCACCAACTGGATCGAGGGTACCCAGGCAGTGCTCCGAGCCAGGAAGGGACAGGATGACAAGGTCCTGGTGGCTACCTGCACCTCAGCCAATGGGAAGCCTCCCAGTGTGGTGTCCTGGGAAACACGGCTAAAGGGCGAGGCAGAGTACCAGGAAATCCGGAACCCCAATGGCACAGTGACAGTCATCAGCCGTTACCGCTTGGTGCCCAGCCGGGAAGCCCACCGGCAGTCCCTGGCATGCATCGTCAACTATCACCTGGACCGCTTCAGGGAGAGCCTCACACTCAACGTGCAGTGTGAGCCGGGGCCGGGGGCCCTTCCCACCCATTGCCACCTGCCCTCCTCTTCTGTCCCCTAGTCCTTCCCCGCTGCTTCCTCCTCCAAGATGCTGCAATTCTCCCTTCCTCTCCCTCTGTCGCTCCTCCCTCCTTCCAACCTTCCTTTCCCCTTGCCGCTTCTGCTCTGAGGTCTTGTAATGCCCACTAGCTGCTCCTGTGTCCTCACCGTCTCCCTTCCTTAGCTGTACCTTCCATCCCTTCCCTGCCTGCTCCCCTGACCTCACCCTCTTCCAAACCCTCCCTTGCCTCACAGATGAACCTGAGGTGACCATTGAGGGCTTTGATGGCAACTGGTACCTGCAGCGGACAGATGTGAAGCTTACGTGCAAAGCCGATGCTAACCCCCCAGCCACCGAGTACCACTGGACCACGTGAGTGCTGTAGGCTGGCCCATCCCCTGAGAATACCCTTTGCTGGACCACATACTGGGAGTAGGGAGGATTAGAATCTAGGCTCCGATTTTTCCGTGGGGGTTAGTTTAAGAGATCCCACATATACACACATACCATGTACGCACACCTCTGCATTTGAGTGCTAGGATTTGGGACTAATAATCCTGCCAGCGGGGGTTTCCCTCATGACCTGCTTCCCTTCACTCACTAATAAAGGATTTTGTCGTTTCCCTTTGGTGACTCATCCCACCCAAGTCCCCATTATTTATTTTATCAAAGTGTCCCCTGGGAAGCTGGTGTTCTGGAACACCCCAGGCTTTCTTTGTTCCTAGTCCTTCTGTATAGCAACCCCAGGTTCTCTGGGTGGAGGCAGCAGTGGACCCCCATGTCCCACTGTCCCGTTCTTGGCTTTACAGGCTGATTCTTGACCTTCAGAGAGGAACATATCCTCTCTAGCCAATACAAACATCTCAAGCCATCGTTCTTTTCACAGAAAACTAGGTGGGAAGCTAAGAGAGTTGGCATGGGTGGCCAGAAGACAGCAGCTAAGAGTGCACCTAAACCATTGTCTATGGAGTAGAGGACCCTGGCAGGTCCTCCCTGGCAGCCTGAATTTCTAGGCACAAAACTGCTTCTGAAGGTGAGGTAGACAGAACCTGCTTGCCAGTCGGCCCTGTAGCCAGAGCAGCCGCTGGCTTAACTGAGGAGCAGCTAACAAGGGAAGGAGGAAGGAGCAAACTCCCAGATGTCCCCCACGTGACAATACCTTGAGATATGCCCAGCAATGGCATATGCCTGTTTCCCCATCCAAACAGCTTCTTCTAATGCACTTGGCCTCAGTGGCCTCACTAAGGGGAACCGGGATCAGGACCCAGGTGTCTCTGTTAATCAACCCACTGCCAAGGAGACGAAGGATCAACAAGACCCAGGAGCAGTAGGACGAGCACTCTCCTGAAGCCTGCAGACCCAGCTGGCCTCCACTCTGCTGCTTCCTAGCCGTGTGTCCTGGTCCTTGAATCTCGGGTTTCATCTGTTAATGTGGGAGTGGTACCCACCTGCCTTGAATACATTTCAGTGGCGTGACGATCAACCATGAACTGCCAAGCACGATGGTCCAAGCCTTGTCATCTCAGCACCAGAGAGGCCCAATCAGGATTGCTGCAAGTTCAGCGCCTACCTGGGCAACATAACAAAACCCTGCCTAACAAAGAAAAAGAAAATCATGAATTACTGAATAATAGAAAAACGGAGATGCAAGACATTATTATTGTGATTATTTTCCCTCCATCTCAAACAGACCCTAATATATGCACTCAGCCAAAGGGCTGGTGGATAGCATTAGAGCCAAGCGGATGCCCCGGGAGCTGAGTCTTGGAGCTGAAGAGTCATAAACCTTTACTGTGTCTCCCAATACCTACAGGTTGAATGGCTCCCTCCCCAAGGGTGTGGAGGCCCAGAACAGAACCCTCTTCTTCCGAGGACCCATCAACTACAGCCTGGCAGGAACCTACATCTGTGAGGCCACCAACCCCATTGGTACCCGCTCAGGCCAGGTGGAGGTCAATATCACAGGTAGGAACCTTCATGCTCCCTGCTGCTCCCCATCTTCGGATTCCTCCATAGCTGCACCCACTGCTTTCTTTGCACCTGGTGGGAAGTTTGTGTCCCCCACCCCACCACCCCACCCCCATTGCTTCTCTGCAGCTCAGGGCATGGTTCTTTCTTTACATTTTTCTCTTTGCTTTATAGGGCTATAGGGTACAGTCAAAGTGACCTTCGGGCGGCGTGGGAGGAGGCAGGAAGTGTTGTTTTCAGCAATGGCTGAGCGCTCGCACCAGGGAGTCATGCTAGCTTACTAGCATGGATCGGGTCTACAGGCAGAGCTCATGTCCTCCAAGTTCTGCAGCTGGAGTTGAGGAAACCTATAGGGCTGCAGGGTGAGGCTCGCCTCAAGCGGAACACAAGACAGACAGTAGAGTAGAGGCTGGAGTGAGCAAGCACCCCGAAGGCACAGGATACTTATGTTTCGAGACTGAATTGCTCTCTTCCCAGATCTTTCTCTGTGATCACAGAGGGGTGAGTCCATCAGGGGAAATGAATGCTGTGGTGTTCCACAGGGAGACTTCACCCGGGATGTGACCTGAGCAGGCCTCATCTGTAAAATGAGGGTAGGGTGACCCGCCTTGAAGGAAGGGCTGCTGTCCAATGACACATAATGTAGGTCACATAACCTAGCACAACTCAGTCTGTCAGTAAGTGGCCAAGGCTCTGTGATTATTGTCGTGACCTCCGTCATTATCATCGTCATTAACCATAGCATCAAAACAAATGCACCAAGGAGTAAATTGCCACCAAATAACTTCAAAAGGGGGAGTGTTTTTAGTATCAAACCTGAGTCGGTTGCCAAGTGAGAAAGGGACACAAAAAGCCTCCCAAAACAGGAAAGGACATCCCACTGCCACCAAAGGAGACAGGATGTAATATGCACAGAGTGACCTCGAGCTTCCAGGAAACTAGGCAGTGGTAGCAGATGCTAGCTAGACACAGGTTTGGGGGAGCCCTGAGGATGTGCTGGCTCTGAGAGAGAGCCCTCATCCATCATCCGTGGGTGCATTCCAAACACACCTGCACAAAGAGCAGCTGGAGCCGTCCACACTGACCTGTCCTTGGGGCTTCCTGTCACCTAGGAACAAGAGGGTGTGGTCACTTACTGTTTTCCTGAACTCCCTGCCCCCGACTCTGAGAGTGTTTAAAGAGGTCGAGGTACCAGGGTTGGAGCCCGCTAACAGCCAAGGGGGCCTGCCGGGATAGGGTTTGGGAATTCCTATAGGGTGACAGACAAGCAGAGGGGGACTGCGCACACTTCTCCCTTCTGGAACAAGTTGGAGACACATAAGGGTCCTGAGCGCTGGCCCTGAGGCGGCGGGGTTGATGAGGAAATGCACAGCTGCTTCCCATGAGGAGTCATCATAATGGGTGTGGTGAGCAGTGTCACTTGAGGGCCAGGAATGTGTTCGTGTAAGGACTTCTTGGCTGTGTGGCCTTGAATAAGTTCTTCACCTCTCAGCACCTCAGCTTCCCGATCTGTAATGTGGAGGAGGTAGTCGGACTTACATCCCATTGTCCATATGACCATGGAGTACTTTCTCCAACAGGAACACCAAAGCCACCACAGCATCCCACGGTGCCACCCAGAAACTCTGGGAAAATGGCTGATTGGAAATTTGGAGGAAGTAGGGCGCCCCAAAGCATCCTCTCATTGATGTTACCTCTCAGCATGAGACTGACCAGAGACTAGCCTCAGAGTCACAGGCAGCAGGAAGGTGCATCCTCCCTTCCCCAAAAGCCCAGGAGTAAAGGTGCTGGTCTTGAGGGAGGGCTGCTCTGTGGGGGGCTCAGGTGCAGGAGCAGAGAGAAGGAGGAGGAGGAGGAGACTAGCCATGGGGAGGAAGCTGCTGTGGGTACCCAGTGCCTGCTGTGGGACCTGTGGTCAGGTCTATCTAGGTGGTGGTGTGTGCTTGGCTGCACATAACTTCTGGAGTGTGTTCAAGGACAGGTGGTCTAAAGCTACCCAGAGCTCCAGCTGAAAAAGGGTCACCCCATGCCAGCTCTGTTGCTGGCAGATTAGCCAGAAGCCAAGAGCCAAACAAGCATGGCACCCCTTGATCTCCTGATGGGCTCAGGAGCTGTGGGTCAGCCCCTCCCCCCCCCCCCACCCAGGGAGTAGCGTTCATCCTTTCTGAAGGACTCAGCCAGATGTTCTAAGCCTTCCCAGTGCTGTTTATTCTCTAAGTGGCAGATGACCTCATCACCCTTCTCCCCACATCAGCAAGTGGCCTCTGCAATCTCTGGGAACCACCCCAAGGGGCACAGCTGGGCCCTGTGCTCCTAACCTCACTGGTCTGAAGGCAATGCATGAGTGAGAGGGATAAGTGGAAATTTAATATTTCATCCTGACCATCCTTTCAGGTAATAGCTTTGCCCTGGGCACATCTGGAGAGTGGAATGAAGAGCAGCTGGGGTGGGGTAGGCAGGGGGCGCACGTGGAAGGTGAGGAGCTGGAACGGTGGGGGAAGAGGGGGATGAAGAAGGACCGGAGAGCCTCGGGAAGGCTCATGGTGAAGCAGCTTGAGGTTTGGCTATGTTCAGATTGCTGCATGGTGGCACCAGGACACTATTTCGTCACTGTCACAGTGAATGACCCCTGGTGTGAAATAGGCCCAAGCTATGGCCATAGGAATGAGAAAGCTGAAGAAACAACCTAGTGGAATTTGTGGGTGCATTTAACAGCGTCTGGCCACTCAAAGAAGCACATTTCCAAGGCCCTTGTGCTGAGAAGCAATTTCAAAGTGTTGGGTCAGTGGTCCCACAACATAGTAGATAGTGTACCTACCTTCTTCCACGAGGGCTAACACTAAGGGTGGGAGGGGTCCAGAATATGGCCTTACCAAATAGGATATAGCTTTCACCCCTAAGGGTGTTAGGAGGAAAGTGGCAGATTGGCCTGTTGCCACTCCCAAGAGCAGGGCAGGGAAGCCACTCAAGCTCAGTGTGTCTGTCCCAACTCTTCCTTCCAGTGACGTCTAGGCTCATCCCATGGGCATGCCAGTTGGGCCAGTTCTTTGGACCAAAGATGGCGGGCCTTCACAGGGAGTGTCTCTGCAGGTGTGCATGCCTAGACACGAGTGTGGGTGTGTTCTTCTGTAAGCATGTGTAAGCCCGTGTGAGCAGGCAAGCCACGGTCTGCATGCTGAGCATGCAAATGGAAGCCTGGGGCTATGCTGAGGGCAAATGTGACTGTCTCCAAGCCAGCAAATGGCAGTGCGTTTGGGATTATGAGGATGCAGCTGAGTCCATACCTCTGGGAGTTCCTCTCCCAGCTTGCAGGAGCCTTGTCAGACAATGGAGGAGCTACACAGCTGCTACAGCTACAGGAAGACAGCAGGGCTTCTCAGGGTATGACCCCAGCCTTCCCATTCTCCCTCTGGCTCGCCTCATTGCATGCTGGGAAATGTAGTTCTCACAACTTCCTGGCCTGATCGGATGTAGGTCATTTCCTGCCTGCTGAAACCTTCAGCATTGGTTGTGGAAGCAAGCCCAGACATTCTCTTTGACCTTAGATCAATCTAGTTCTAGACTCTAAACCCTAACTCCAGTTCACCTCTTATCTATCCAAAGCCCCCGACACTGGGCCACCCATCTTACTCTGGAAACTATGGACCCAGAACGAGCAGTCTCATTGCTCTGAGGTCCTGCCCATTCAGGTTCCCAGAGGGAAGCCTGCAACCCTTCAGAAGCAGGGCCAGGTGGGCCACTTTGTAAGACGACCTGAGAGGAACCAGCTGGGCCCCCAGCAACAAGAGCAAATGATGCCAGTGCTTCTCTCCCTAGCTGTAGCCCTTGTGTTTCTGCTTCTAACACAGAGACAGAGGTGGCTGGCCGACTGTGACAAATGGAGGGGTGGAGGAGAGGGGCGGGATGCCCCTTTCCTCCGGTTGGCAGGTGGATTAAGTTCCCATAGCCATCCCTTTCTTCTGCCTCCCTCCCTTGATGCTTGTGTTTTGACATCTTAGCTATCCCGTTGCTCTCCACAGACCTAACACTAAAGCAGGCTAAATAACATGGGTTCCCTGTGGTCCCAAAAGGGACCACAGGAACAGTAAACCTGTGTTAGAGGGCCTGGGCTGGGGAGGTCAGAGGTAGAGAACCAAGTATAATCTGCCCCTAAACCACTGCTCTCCTCCTAACCCTGACTCCTAAAAAATGAGGTCCCCAGGGTGTCCCAGGCCCACTTCATCTGTGGACGGAATGCTTTTCACTGCCAGGAGTAAGCCTTACCTTTAAGGCGGAGCCATGGCATGAGAGAATATGTTCTTTTGCTCAACAAAGATTTCTTTGCCTTGTGATCTAGGCGTTGGGGATAAATAAGTGAGTAAAACAGACCAAACTCCATCCTTACGGGGTCCAGAAGGTGATACAGGAAAAAAAGAACAGTGACAGAAAAGTCACTGTGCTGGAGATGAGTGCCTTGTGCATTTCAGTTTTAAAGGTGGTGGGTGGGGAAAGTGTTCATGAGTAGGTAATGTTCAAGCCAAGCCCTGAAGTAGGTGATGGCATGAAGCTCCAGTCCATGGCAAAGAGGTCTCAGCCTTCAAGAAAGCAGGGCAAGATGGTGTCAGAGGTCAGGCAGGGCACAGGTCATGGAGAACATTCTAGACTCTGTGGCTTTGGGTTTCCTCTGGGAGTAAAACAGTCATTAGGAGCTCCGGGCAGGGTAGCGATGGGATGTGACTTAGGCTTTAATGGGCTCTTGCTGGCTGCCGTATCAAATATAGTCCGCAGAAGCAAAGGGTGTAAGCAGTTAGGTATCGATAGCAATAAATAATCCCGGTGAAAGATGGTGGTGTCGTGGATGAGGGTGGTTGGGATGGAGTGGCAAGAAGTGGCTAGATTCTAGATTTATTTCAAAATATAATTTACAGAGTAGTTGGGGACACCAACTATTCTCATCAGACAGATGATACAGCAAACCCTGTCATCCTGTGATTAGTGGGGCCAGAAAATCCAATCTAGCTGAGTTAAATGTAAGAGCACGGTATTTTTCATTGGTTCTTTGCTGGGAAAGCAGGAAAGTAACCATGGTGGGGCTTAGGTTATGCACAGCGGTAACACAGCAGTGAGTCAGCTCCAGAAGATGAGTGGCTCCTTCCCTCAGCCCGACTGAAAGGAGAACCAGAACCAACCGTGGTTAATCCTAATTTGCGTTTATTAGCAATGAATTTGTAATTAATACATTGGAATCTGAGATTGTCTAGAATAAAGTGAAGGGTGCTGGCAGGGTGTGGGGTGTAAGCAACGGCTTACTTGTTTGCTTGTGATTAGGGACTCACTTGAAGCCAAGTCTGGGAAGCTGAAGCCAAAGGATCATAGGTTCAAGGCCAGCCTGAGAAACTTAGTGAGACCCTATCTCAAAATATGAAGCAAAAGAGAACTAAAAATATAGCCTGGTGGTAGAGTACTTGCTAGCTTGTGCCAGGCTCTATGTTAATCCTTACTTAGTAACACATACACATACAGAGAGAGAGAGAGAGAGAGAGAGAGAGAGAGAGAGAGAGAGAGAGAGAACACCCACTTAGATAGCAAGTATAATGTGTTAATCAGCTTGCTGTTACTATCATAAAATACCTAGGATAAAGAGGAAAGGTTCACACACCTTTGACCCCAGCACTTGGGAGGCAGAGGCTGGCAGATCTCTGTGAGTTCAAGGCCTACACAGTGAGGTCCAGAACAGCCAGGACTACATAGTAAGACAGTTGTCTCGGTGGGGGTGAGGGGGATGGGGAGGGGGGGATTCAGTCTAGCATACTGTGTCAAAAGTTGCAGTCCATGGATGTTTGACATAGACTTTAGGGGCCTGTGATGAAACACCACCATGGAAAGAATATGAGGTAGAGTAGCTCATTCATTCTGTGGAAGCCAGCACACAGACAAGGGGCAGGGTCCCCACATCCCTTTCAAGGACACACACACACCCCCAGTGACTGAACTTCCTCCCAGTAGGCTCCAGCTCTAAAGGTACCACCACCGCCCGGTAGTGCCATGAGCGAGCAACCAAGCCTTTAGCACCCAGGCCTTTGATGGGGACAGCAGTGAAGGTGTGTGACAGAGACTTGGCAGGCCAGGTGCTAAGGCCCAGCAGGCAATGGGGGAGTTGCTGCTGGTCATTGAGATGGAGAGAGTGACCGTGACTTTACAGTGGGAATTAACCTGCTGACGGTGGGCAGGGCAACTAAGAGGGAGCGACCCGGTGAAGGCGAGCGGCCCAAGAGCCTTCTTCACACAGCAGAACCCAGAGAGGAACGGTGACCCACCAGGCGCGAGTCAGAGCAGACAAACGCTGGTGGCGGTGGGAGCCCGGGGAAGGGCTGGTGAGTGGAGAGAGTGAGGAAGGGTGGACGGACGGACGCCATGTTGGAACAGGTGGGATTTGAGTTGGTGATTCCAGAAGTTTCTCGACTCCGTAACCGTAAACGTTAGTTCCCCGGGGATGGTCCTGTGGGCGGGAAGATGGGGGCAGGCTCCAGGAAGCTGGGACATACTCCATCCTGTATCTCTCTCTCCTCTCTCTCGTAGTCCAGGGTATGGGAGGAGGTGAAGGGCTCCCGTGTGTCATCTAAGCCAGTGTTTTTCTGAGTGTTTGTCCTACCGTTTCTTTGCTGAGCTCTGAGTCAGTGGCTCAAGGTTCTGTGGTGTACACTTTGGGAAACTGTATCCCAGAGGCCTTCAGAGATTCAGCTCTGCAGCTGGGCGAGAGCTGTGTGCTTGAAGTGGCTTGGGAAGCCAGGAGGACCACAGTTGAGTCATGACATGGAGATGAGCTCTGCCATGAGCAAAGATAAGGGACAAAGGTCCATAGACAAAGCTCCACTGGGAAGGCTGGAAAAAGCCCAGCAGTGCAGGCGGTTCCAGAGCACTGAGGAGGGAAAGCCGAGGACCCAGGGGTTTTCATCTCAGCAGGCTAGGGGCACAGTTCAGAAGCAGCAGGCAGGTCCTTCCGTATGGAAGTCCAGCCTCCAGGAAGCCTTTTCTAAGTGCACACCACAGTGTTCTCTTTCCCCTGCACTCCTGAGCACTTCCCTGCCAGCTTCCTCGATGTCTGCTGCTGCTGTGACTCCAAGCATGTCATTTGGTTCCGTAGCAATGCTGTGACTAGAAAGAAAGATACTTGGGGTTTATTTGCTAACTGAATAAGGAAGTAGACCGGTGAGGGTGGGCCAGGAGTGGTGGTGACCTGTAACGTCAACGCTCAGGAGGCTGAGACAGGAAGATCTCAAGTTCAGAGCCAGCCTGGGCTGGTGGGGCCTTGTTTGAAACCAACCAAGCAAAGAAAGACATGGAGGCAGATGTAGAGGATCAGATCTGAGGAGATCTGAAGTGGAGGAGGTAGGCTGAGAGTACAGATGTGCAAAGTACTTCCTTCCTAAGGACAGTGAGCAGATGGGACCCAGGAAACCCAGAGGAGCTTGAGACTGCTCCCAGAGAGTGTTGCAGAGATGGGCAGTCAAGACAGATGTCAGTAAACATTTATGGATCAGCTCCTCTGTGACCTGCACTGAGGACACAGGAGTGACCATCGGGGAACCAAGTCTTCCTGGCTTGTGCTCCAGCTCCAGGCTTAGGAAGCCTCTGGGTGGCCACAGCTCAGCCATGTGATCTCAGGCAAGTGCCCCCCCCCCCTTTGGGGGCCCCTGTGTTTTCACTAGCCTTTCCAGCCCGAGCCACAGGAAAGCCTTTCCCCCAAGCAGAACCTCCGCCCTGCTCCTGCCTGCTTGCCAGCAGCACCCCACACACTCACATGGGGCCCATGGGAGGAGTGTGATTCCGATGGAGTGAGTGATGCTGACTCAGGGAGTGAGCTGGCTGCAGCGGGTTCCCAGGAGCAGACACACACGGGGGCACAGACAGACCCAGTACCTTGGCCTTGGCCCTCCTGGGCCAGGCTGGAGAGAGCACCGGACAGCAGCCTTCCAGGCTTGCCCTGAGTCTGCACCCCAGCTCCTTACCAAGACCAGTCATGGTCTCCGGTGCCACCCTGTGGTAGTGCTGGGAACCGTCTCCCTGCGTCTTGCCCTGGGACCTCTTGGCCTCTGGCCTGGCCTGGCTTCACCCTCTCCCATCCACCTCCCAGGCCTGGGAGAGAAAGGAAAAAAAGAGACAACAAGGTTGTCAAAAAAAAGTCACCCGCCTAATGACGTTCTTCCTTCCACCCTCTTAGTCTTCCCTACCTTTATTACCTTTTATTTCTACTCTGTCCTCATTTTGACTTTCCTTTTTCTTTCTTTCTTTTTTTTCTTTCTTTCTTTCCTTTTCTTTTCTTTTTTTTTTTTTTTGAGACAGTTTTACTCTATAGCCCAAACTGGCCTTGAACTTACAGCAGTCCCCCTACCTTAGTCTCTCAAATCCTGAAATTACAGGTATGAGCCATTATGCCTGGCTCAGTCTGTCCTCATTATGCACTCTGCATCTCTTTGTGCACACTTTGTTGTGCCTGGCGAGGCCTGTGGGCCATGAAACATGCTCGTACATGTTTATGTTCCTGGTCTGTAAACGACATGCGGGCCTCTACAACCTCTTTCTGCCTGTACTGACTTTGTGCCTACCATCTGTCCCTTTTGGTGTCCCAACCCTGGACTCCAAGCTGGCAATCCCAACAGGTCTCCACCTTGCCCTGCGGGGCCAGTCCACAACCAAGAGTCACAGCCCTGGTTTGTAGCACACTGGCAGATGACTGGCACTCACAGGATATCTACTGAGTCAAAACTTGGAAATCCATGTTCTGTGCATCCGGGAGGCAAAAGAAATCAGTCCTGGAATTCCTACTAGGCTCCTGGTGTTGGGACAGTGACGTCTACATGTCAGGCAAAGGGACACTGGTGATGTGCACAGGGTTTATATGCAAAACAAACAAAAAGCAGCAATGTTCTATCTGATTAGCGGTCTCCTGCATTGAATAGAAATGAGCAGCAGACCACCCTTGGAGGGTGGTGACAGTGTGGGGCACACAGCTGGGTACATGCAGATGTGCTTCTGCACCATGATGGGATAAAACAGGACTGACACTAACTACCTCCGGGGATGGTCAGGATGGGAAGGTTGGGTGCTCTGGGTACTCTAGCTGCCTCTCTCCTCTCTCCTGCCTTTTTCTAGCTCCCAATGCTGACATGACCTCAGAGAGGTGGGGTGCTAGGAACCTCTGGAACCAGAACTGCTCAAACGTGGGGTGTGGACATCCTGTCCCGGGCCTTTCCCTCCCCTGCCTCCCTACACCCCTGCTGACTTCCGAAGAACAGACACTGACACTGTCCCCTCCATCTCTTTTCCTCACCCAGAATTCCCCTACACCCCGTCTCCTGAACACGGGCGGCGTTCCGGGCAGGTGCCCACAGCCATCATTGGGGGCGTAGCAGGGAGTGTCCTGCTGGTGCTGATTGTGGTTGGAGGGATCGTAGTGGCCCTGCGCCGGCGCCGGCACACCTTCAAGGGTGACTACAGCACCAAGAAGCATGTATACGGCAATGGCTACAGCAAGGCAGGAATCCCCCAGCATCACCCGCCCATGGCACAGAACCTGCAGTACCCGGATGACTCAGATGATGAAAAGAAGGCCGGCCCACTGGGCGGGAGCAGCTATGAGGAGGAAGAAGAGGAGGAGGGCGGTGGAGGGGGCGAACGCAAAGTGGGCGGACCCCACCCCAAATATGACGAGGACGCCAAACGGCCCTACTTCACTGTGGATGAAGCTGAGGCCCGTCAGGACGGCTATGGGGACCGGACTCTGGGCTACCAGTATGACCCTGAACAGCTGGACTTGGCTGAGAACATGGTTTCTCAGAACGATGGGTCTTTCATTTCCAAGAAGGAGTGGTATGTGTAGCCCCGTCTTCTGGAGCCTCTGTCTGTGCCCACTTCTCCCTGGCCCCTACCCGCACGACCCCTGCCCACCCCCCACAGCCCACTGCCCCAGGAGCTCGACAGAGACTTGACTAGCTGCCCTCAACCAGCCCCAAACTCCTGGGGAGCCAGGGGAGCTCAGGGCAGACCCCACTTGGCTTCTTTTTTTTTTTTTATTTCCTCCCTCTCCCACCCTTCCCCACGGTGTTGTGTTCGACTGTGACTTCGGTGTTGCTGTATCTCTCCTTTAAGGACCCCATCCACTGCCCTCTGTGCAGGGAGCCCCGTTCTTGTCTTGTGTACTCGGGCATCCCTCCAGGGTTTAGGGAGCCAGTCCCCTCCTATCCCCCAACACTGGAATTCGTTTGTGTTCTCTTCACTGGGGACGGAGGGCAGAGGGGGCTTCAGGATGAAGAACACCCTCACCTCACCCCATATGCTGCTCCCCTTCCCAGAGAGAAGTCACTCAATGTCCCCCGACTCTAAGCTGATGCAGCCAGCGCACCTAAGAGGTTTTAGGGGAGTTCTCTATGGTACCCAGGGGAGTCTTGTCTGTGAAACGATGGAGCTGAGGTTCCTCCTGGGGTCCTGGGCAGTGTGTTTTCCTGGTGAGGGGGGCTTTATGTTTTCTTTTTTTTTCCTTCTGGCCTACAAAATGAGGTTGGCCTAGCTCTCATATACCCTTTCCTTTACCCCTAGTCCCTTCTCTACACAGTGAGTGACCCCGGGTGGACTCTACCCACAGTTCCTGTATGCCTCCACCAACACATGCACACACACACACACCACTGGGTCTCTGCCAGTCTCCCACAGTGCTCTCACGCCTTGCCCAGGCTAAACACTGCCCCAGGCCCTACCCTCTGCTCCGGCTCTCACTTCTTCCCAGCTTAGGGAAGTCCACAGAAGTGTCCAGAGACAGCTAGGATGGACCACCCAGCTGCTGCCGCTCTAAGATTTTGGTGTATCTCCAACCTTTCAGGCAGTGTGCACGTTTCTCGGATTTCTCTTTATCTGTCAAGAGCTCACAAGACTTGACTCTTCTGGAAAGCCGGGGCTGGGACCTCAGGAAGGAATTTGAGGCAAAGAAGTATTTATATGGCGAGGGCAGCCTCGTGGAAGCTCTGCAAGCATTCTGGTGACTGAAGGGGACTGCTAATGTCTCACACAGGAAGGCCAGCATACATGTCACAGGTCTCCAAGAAAGTGCAGGGGCCCCCAGGAACCTGCTGCTTGTCCACAGTCTGTCCCCCTACTCAGTTTCTCCTGGTGCCATACTGAGATGAAGGGGACCGTGGAAGGGCCGGCCTTTGCATGCAGACTCCCTCTTTGAATGGGACTCTGGCTTCTTCTGCCATCTGGGGTTGGGCTTTCCCTTGAGGTGCACGGAGAAAAGCCCCCTCCCAGCCCTCTGTCCCGAAGCTCAAAGTGCCTCAGTTTTTCCATCTGTGCCCCCAGACTCCCCACATTCTAAATGGGCATGCCTATGCCCTGGGGTAGGCAACATGGGCTGCAAGAGCCTTAGGGCCCGCCTGCTAGGATCTCCGCTAACAGCCCAAGGCGACGCTCTGAGGGATAGCAAGTGTGGGGGAGAGGGAGGCAGACCATTCTGTGCCCCACGGGCACTGACCCACCCTGCCATAGGCTTCCTAAGGGAGCCCTAGTCCTCAACCCGCACCCCTCCCTGGTGCTGCTATTGAATTCCCAGTCCAAGCGCCATCTCTGGCACCCCTCAGCCCCCCGAGCTGGGGCCCTTTGGCCAGGCCCTCACTGCCCTAGTCCCAGCCCAGGCTGCCCAGTAGCCACGTAGCAGAAGTCTGAAGCCATGCTAGCCCTGTGGCAGCTCTCCCCTCTTGGCATTTGGGGACACTGGATGGGGTGGAGTTCGGGGAAGAAAATTCTTGGGGCCTTTCTAGCCACAGGGTGGAGGAAGATGGAGGAGCTGGGCTGCTTCTCTCAGCAGTATTAATGTCCCTCCTGTGTCTCATTTCCCCCCTCCTCATGCCCATTCTGGCCCCTCTGCTTGGTCCCCTTACCCCCAAGGCAGGAGGCGGAAGCTTGACTGCCCCATAGAGGCGTTTCTGTCCCTATGGAACCGTAACACTGAAAGGACTCACCCTCCTGCCAGTCTCGAACCTTTCACTGTCACCCACCTTGTTCCTTATTTTGTGATGGATTGAGGAGGCCCTGGGCCCGGACAAAGCACCTAAGCTCCCCTTAAGACACCTGCACGCCTTCCCCACCCCAAGCAAAGCACAATTTTATGGGGTCCATGCAGCAGGATCCCAGCTGTGGCACTGCTACCAGGCAGCTGCTACCTGGGCTAAGAGAGGAAATGAGGCAGGAGTCAGTAGCTGGGCCTAAAGAGGACGGGCTTTCTTTGCCCTGTGTGAAGGGGGGTGGGGGGGTAGGGGGGACGGACAGGGGCCACATCCCGCTAACAGTGGAAAACCCAGAGCAGCAGAGCAGAGGGCATTCAGCCTCACCGCCATGCCCCCAACCCAAGCTGAGCACCTGCCTTACTGCACAGAGAATAAACTTGGTGTGTTAACTGTGCCAAGGCCTCTCGGGTTGTCATCTCTGCTGCCCCTGGACTCCTGTGTCCCTGCAGATTTTGATAGTGTTCTGAAGTCCAACAACCCTCTGAGTCTCTTTTGCCCAGGCAGACCTGGAAAGAACAGAGCAGCACCCAATCAGTGAACACATGCCCAGCACACTGACACACGCCTTCCACAGACCAAGCACAGGTGTGTGTATGTGTGTGTGTGTGTGTGTGTGTGTGTGTGTGTGTGTGGTGTGCGCACACAAGTACACACACGAGGAGTGAGAAGCCCTCACTCATGCTCAGGCCCAAGACAGATGGACGGGGGGCCCAAGCCCAGGGAAGGTGCCCCTCTGCCAGCCACCCCCGTGTGCCCCAGTCACTGGTGCAATAACTTTGCTGCTGCCCTCGAGGTGGGAGAATCAGGACTCCTGTCAAGGGGGTTGGGGCCACTCCTCTGAGCCCAGCGGACACTGCATTCCCTTTCCTGGGAGGAGGGGGGGTGCTCCCAGGCCTCTGGGGGTCCAGGTAGAGACATCCCCAAGCCTGACTGCCAACTGAAACACCCTCTCCTGGTGAGGGCAAGTGGCTCAAGTTGACCTGGGCCAGAGATACCCAGAGTTGAGGAATCCGGGTCTCGCTGCTGCTGCTTTCTGACCCTGGCTATGAGGAATAGGCTTGGGGGCGGGGGGTGAGTCTTGTTTTTGTTTTTGTTTTAACAAATGGAAACAAAATCCGGAGAAGCTGCCAGGCTCACCCGCCGCTGAGTGTGGCCAGCTTCCTTTGCTTCAGTTTCTTGTCACTGTTTTCCTCTTTGGTCCTGGGGACAGCCCAGCAGATTCTCCTGGTTCTGACCTGGGGAGGGGGGGTGTCCCACCCCCTTTTACTTGTATTAAAAAAAAAAGATGGGTTGAAAATGTACTGAGAAAAAAAAATGTACTTTTTTATAAATAAAGTGTTTTAAAACAAGCCCATTTGCCTCATGTCACTGAAGTGGGGTGTGGGCAAAGCTGGAGAAGGAGACACAAGCCAGACATCATCGGGAGGACAAAGGAACACTACAGATAACCAGAGCACCTGATCCCATGGCAGGGACTCACTGGGGTACCCCACCAGCCACCTTGCAGGCATTCCTGAGTGCCTGCCGGCTGCTATGGAACCAACCTTCCATGAGAAGATGTGAGCTGGGCAGAGCAGTAGGGTACAGGGGGATGGCTGGCGTCTGCTGGCCAGGGCCAAGGCATGTTGGGGCCGGGGGGGTGGGGGGAGGGGGTGGTCAAGAGAGGGATGACAGAAATACACAGCTGGGCAAGGCCTGCTCTGGCTAGAGCCACAGGCAGCCCCTGTTCCACAGCTCTTGCCTAGTTGGTCCCCTCTTGCCCACTTCCCTGGAATCCTGTTCCCCCCTTGCCGGGTCCACTGCGGGACCCGCAGTGGAGCACCTGTGTGTTAGATCTCCGGAGATCCCTCTTCTGTTCTGAGGGTGTAGCACATCCCTGTCCCCCAACAGCTCTCCCAGGTCCCAGCCTTACCCCTGCCCTCCCAGGGGGGCTGGTTGGGGGAAGCTCTTCTGGTTCCTCCATCCCCTCCTCCTGCCCATGCCAGCAACATCTGCTTCCCATCTCCTGGGCTGGAATGCAGGGCAAATCTACCCTGGGGGGGGGGGGGGGACAGGGGGCTTCAGGGGGCTGCCCCCTCCTACTCACCCCGGTGGCATCTCGTTTCACTGAGATCCACACCACAGAGCCTTGGGCTCTAGAGAGGGCAGGGACCGCAGAAGCCAAGACAGCTGCTTAGCAAGCCCTCAGAGCCACATGGGGAGCAAGGCCACCTCCTCCACACCTAAGATTAGGTCCCCTAAGAAAGGCAGGATCCAGCATGAACGAGGAGCCTGCAGCTGTTGGCAGCTGGCTAAGCCCCTCTCTGGAAGGCTAAACCAAGGCACCCAGGACAGACAGAGCTGTGTTTAGATGTTGATATTCGAATGAGATGCAAATTGGTTGTCTAAGCGGTTATTTCCTCAGTTTTTCAGGCTGTCTTGTTTAAGTTAATTTTTAATTTGTGCGAGCAATAAATGCTTAATTACATTATTAATATATTGGAAGAGAGCAGTGGACAGAACATCCTAATTGGCATTTAACTAGAGCGTTCCGGCAAATTAGCCAAGACTTTCTCCGGCTTTGAGGAAGGAGGGCAAGCCAATTAGTCTCAGGCACAGCCTCTGTGGGTGGAGCATTGCACTGGTGAAGCCAGACCCACACCTTCCCCAGGCCTGAGGCAGGTTGCCCAACTCAGGATACCAGCATCCACTCTCACTTCCTAGTTTAGTTAGGCTTAGGAGAAACTTGCTGCTCATTAGGCCATGGCTCCTTCTTCTGTCCAAACCCAAAACCCTTGGCCTGTGCCTCACCCCAGACAGAGCAGGGAACCCAAGGCTGGATGGCCTGAAGCAGTCCCAGCCTGAGTAGGGCTAAGTCTGCCTCCTGCATGCTGCCATTGCCTGCTCCCAGCAGGTACCCTGTTCTCTAGAAACCATTCTCTGAGCAAGTTTTCTGCTGTATGACTAAGGGAATAAACTTGATGTTCGAGATTTGTATATTTGCTCACATTATTTCACCTAGGTCTGCTAGTCTGTGATTATGGCTACTCCAAGAATTCAGAGCACCAAGGATTCTAGATTCCAAATGAATCATTGGCCTCCTGGTCCTAACAGTGCAATGCTAGTTTTGTTTGAAAGGGGGTGACATGACCTTCTATCTTGACCTTGAAGAATACATAGGAGTTCTGCAGATATTGGTGGGTCACAAGTACTCTGGGCAGACCACACATTATTTGTTCCAAAGTGACCATGCCAATTCAATCCCCTCACTCTACAGCTGAAGTCTAGAGCCAAAACTAGGAGCCAGGTACACCCCAGTAAGCATATGCTGAGCTTGCTCATGCAAGTGAGGTGTCAAGAAACTGAGGGGACGGGAAAACAGTAGATCTAGAACAAGTTTCTGCTGACCAAAAATCAATACAAGGCCCCAGTGGAGCATAAGGTAGGAATACAGAAGCTACATTGAGCTCAAGTAGAGGAACCAATCATATCAGACTCATTGAGGAAGACTTCTTGGGAAATATGCCAACAACTGGTTTAAAACAATGAGAGGAATGTGGATGGTGGCACAGTGGGTGTAGGGAGATTTCTGATGGCTGGAGTAAGCACCAGACCTGCTTCTGGAAACACCTCTACACCTGCCTTGATGTCCAGCAGCTTCCAGGAAACAGTCCTCAGGCTTGACCTCGGTGCTAACCTCCATGGTCCTCAAGCCCTATTTTCTCCCCCTGGTTAATAGGCTTGATGACAGCCGTGCCCAGGTCTTCTGGGGGCCTGCTGTCTCACTGCTCATCTGTATCACCAACTCTTAGATGACAGTCAGAGGCATTGTCCCCTCTTTTTCTCCCTCTGACAACCACTCCTCCCCAAACACACACACACACACACACACACACACACACACACACACACACACACACACACTTCACACCCCATACCCTGCCCCACCTCTGGCCGCATCATATCCAATTCACCCTGAACTCCAGGCTAAGACTAGCACAGAAATCGTTATGTCTGCCTTGCGAACCAACATAACAGCATCATCTGTGTACATCCCAAGTGCCACTGAGCACAGAGCACTTCATCCAGAATCACCCAGTGTATCAATTACTTGCCTTGTTGCTATGACAAAATAGCTGACCAAAGCCACTTAAGGAAGGGAGGGTTTATTCTGATTCTGCTCATTCACTCTTCGACGGTGTGGTTCGTCTCGGTGAAGAAGTCCTGGCGTCAGGAGCCTGAGGGCTGATAACTTTGCATCCACAGTCAGAAGGCAGAGAGAGGAACGAGCGTTTGTGTTTAGTTCTCTTCTTTTCTTCAGTCTGCCACCCGAGCCCAGGGAATGGAGCTGCCCACATTTAAGGTGGATCCTCCCAACTCAGTTAACCTAATCTAGATAATCCCTCACAGATGAACCAGGAGATTTGTTTCCATAGTGATTCTAAATCTCATCAAGTTGACAGTCAAGATAAACCATCATAGTTGAACAAGGTTTTTTGTTTGCTTGGTTGGTTTTTTGTTTTGTTTTGTTTTCTGAGACAGGGTTTGCTTCTCTGTGTAGCCCTGGCTATCCTGGAACTTACTTTGTAGATCAGGTGGCCTCAAACTCACAGAGATCCACCTGCCTCTGCCTCCCGAATGCTGGGATTAAAGAAGTGCACCACCACGCCCGGCCACAGGAGGCTTTGAAACTCCAAACCTTGCCCTAGGTAGATATAGGCAGAACCTTTGGGGCTTGAGAGCTTCTAACAAGCTACCTAGGACAGTCTAAAAGACAGTTAGATTCAAGCCTCCAACCTCAGGTTGGGACCATCCTCAGGTGTCAACCATGAAGAAGAGGGAGGTCCTGAGATAGGATCATGACTAAGCATGACAATGCTTGTCTGTAATCCCAGAACTCAGAGAAGTAGAGTGGGATTGTGAGTTCAACAACAAGCCTTGGCTAGAAAGCAATACCCTAATGCGGGGAGGGGGGGCGGGAATTGGCCAATAATAAGTGTCGTTTCTGGAAGGGCAAAGTAGATGGGTAGTTGGATGACAGGGCAAAATAGTGCACATAAGACTTGGGTACCAAATATGCTATTTGTTATCCTTCTTAACCACCTTCATCATTACCCTCCAAGACACAATGTCCTAGATGATGATGGCTGTCACAGAGGCCACCTGGAGGCAAGTAGGGGGCCAGGAGCTAGCCATAGCTGTAAGCAGGTGTTCTGATGTTACACCACTCCTAGATGAGAGGGCTCTGGGCAGCCTCCAGAAGAGAAGGGGTTCCATAAGCCCTCTATGAATGAAGATTCTTGGTCATAGGCCCTCTGTGAATGAAGATTCTTGGTTCACTGTGCTAGAAGTGAATATCTTCAAGAAGGAAGCTGACATTCCCTTGATAGGAAAGGGAACGGTTGCAGTGTTTATACCCTTTAAGCCCTTTTCCCTGTCTGAGGACTGGCCCCACATGTCCTGAGAAGGCCTATATTCCACAGTGAATGAAAACTTTGAGATGATGGCTGATTCAGAGCCCTGCAGGTCCCCTGACCTCCTCACACCCAATTTCCTCTCAACTGAAGGATCTAGCTTGTTTTGGGTAGGGTTTCTATATGATAAAAACACCATCCCCAAAAGTAACTTAGGGAAGAAAGGATTTGTTAACCTCATACTTCCACATCACAGTCCATCATCTAAGGACATCAGGGCAAGAACTCAGGCAGGAGCCTGGAGGCAGGAACTGAAGCAGAAGCTATGGAGGAGTGCTACTTACCAACTTGTTCCCCAAGTCTTGCTCAGCTGCTTTCTTAACATCCCAGGACCACTTGCCCATGGGCGAAGCACCCACAGTAGGCCAGCCCTTCCACATCAGTCACTAATTAAGACAATGCACCACAGAGTTGCCCACAGGTCAATCTGATGGGGCCATTTTCTCAATTGAGATTTCTTCTTCCCAAATAACTGTAGTTTATGTCAAGCTGACATAAAACTAGCCAGCACATAGCTCTTTTGCATTTTACAACATCCTTGGGACCCTCAGCCTCAGGAGAGCTCAGCCTACAGGCCAAGGAGCAACAAGTAATAGAGTCACACAAGCTGCCTTCCTCACTTGACTGTAGATCCAGGAGAGGAAGAGAGTACCTTCCTCATCCCCAGTGCTAAGCAAAGAGGGACATACAGTTGGTGCTCAGTAGAACTGAAGACAAATTGAATTTGTAAAAGTGACAGTCAAAAGAGACCTTTGGATCACAGAGGCCAACCTCTCCCAAGGCATGGCTATCCCCAAGCACCCTGAAGCATCTGTTGATGGATAGTTGATTAGCTCATGGGTAACCTGGCCTTCCAGGGGTTGTTCTGACCAGCAGAAAAAAAATTCCCTCC